TGTCTTGCCTTCTGACTCTCAAACCCCCAAATGCTGCTTCTGACTTGGTCATGGTCCATAGGAAAGCAGCACTGGTGTGGTGGTGTCAGCAGCAAACTGGAAGCTCCGGAGCTGTGACTTTCCATTGCCAAGAAGTCCTACAACTTTAGCTTGCTCAGTGGCAAAGCAGGGCACCCGGGGCAGCTTCGTTAGCAGTTGGCATAAATGAGTGAGAGCTAACATCTGGTCGTTCATGGAAAATTCCTGCACTTAGAGCCGGAAAATAGACTATCATTCCATTAATAAAGGGACCAGAATTAGTTCTCGTTCTCCGCGTTCCATATGCTGGTCACTGATGAATGATAATACTGTCTTGATTGTCTCAAGCACTCAGCGGGGAAGATAAAAAATATGCTCCATGGCCACCATTAGTGGTGCTGTGCACGGGAAGTATGGGCGGGTGGAGGTGATGGAGCCCTATCCTGCCCCCAGACGGAGGAGTATTCAGTTACCCCATGGGAGAGGCCAGAGATGCTGCTTATGACAGCCACTGCCACACGTTCTGTGTCGAAGGAAATCAGTCTCTCTGATCGAAGGAAAATCACTAATCAGATTCTGCCTCAAAATGGAAACACAGACCTTTTCTAAAACACACCTCACTGGAATAGAATAATAGGGTTAATGTAAGAGAGGCCAATGGCACTTAGGTTGTTAGGGGGAGAAAACTGTAAATTGTTACCAGGAGGATCTTCCTATCCTCATTAGAAGCATGGTTTTAATGGGTGTAAATAAAGAATTAAGACCAGTTATTAACCATCTTGCACTGAGTTCCAGACAACTTCCACTGGGGCAGGTGAGGATGCTCTGAGGAGCAGGGAGGACTGCCGACCTCAGTGCCGTCTGTGGAAGGCTGGTCCCCATGGAGTGGACTGGGAGTCTTAGGGAAGCATGTCACTGGGATGCCTGTGTGTGTGTGTGTGTGTGTGTGTGTGTGTGTGCGCGCGCGCGCGCGCGCACGCACGCGCGTGCGCACATGTGTGGGTGGATAATGATTTGAGGTGGAAAGACACTGAAGATAAATTTAGTTACATCACATTCTTGACTTAGGTGTATTTATATTGGGCATTTAGAGTTTAAAGCTAATTAAATCGATTCATCATCTTTTGTGAAATACCAAAATGATTTTGTAAACGCTAATTAGGCTAGAGGACATTTGCATCATTTAAAATTAGGCAATTGGCCACCTACAACATGTAGGTGATTCATTAATTTCAAGTAAATGTAATGCATGTAAGTAAATGGCAGGACTCTGAGGATTTCTCTGGTTGGCTCTGTTTTCTGCCCAGTTGTAATGCACTTTTTCACATTGCACTTTTATCAGGGGTCTCCGCCAGGATGTTCTCCCCTGTCCTTTCAAGTGAATGCCACAGGAGCGCCAGTCAGTTATGATATTGGATGAGGCCAATCCTCTGAGTGCCTGCCCTGCCCTTGGCACCTTGCCCAGGTAGGGGCCCTTAGGTGGTTCCTTCCTCTATGCAGATGTGTTCCCACCTCTTGATCCAAACTCTGAGGCCACAGCTGATCAGGCCAGAATAAGCCACGGGCATTCAGTCAGTCTGTGGCTGGCCTAGGAGGTGGCCTACCATGAAAGTCGTGTTTTTCAGGATAGTGGTGGTATGCTGAGTCTTTCAGCTTCTCTCCCAGGAATTTCAGCTGAAGGTATGTCGAGAATCAGGCAGTTACAAGCAGAACCTTAGCCGAAATGCCCTCAGAAAGAAGGCAGTATGTAAAATCATGAAACACTTCCAGTCACGAATGAGCAGAAACCAGGGTAAGTAAACACCACGAAGTCAGGGAGACTCGGGAAGAAAGGGAGGGCTGCTGATGGAGAGCTGAAACTCTTTAACAGCAGAGAATAATCTAGATAATCCAATTATTGGAGCTATATTGGATGATTCCAATTTCTGAATTGTAATGTGAGACTCAGCCAAGTATTTCCAAGATGTCCGGTGAGGATGCATGCATCCCCGTAGTAATCACACCCCCCACCCCCGAGAAACTCCCCAAACTTAAAGTAACAGAAGGCTATCAGGATTTCCTTGCATGCCAAAAAGCCTAACACACAGTATGTATCTGTGGTTTACCTAGCTTCTTTATTTCTTTCAGTTTTATTGAGATATAATTGACATAGGTCAGTGTAAAAGTTTAGGGTGTAGGCACAATGACTTCACTTATATGTGACACATCTCATATAGACACAAGGAAAAAAAAGAAAAAACTTCTTATTTATTCACTTATTTGTCTTGTAACCAGAAGTGTGTTCCTTTTGACCACCTTCATCCAGTGCCTCCACCCTCTCTCCCCCACCTCTGGTGACCACAATTCTGATCTCTTTTTCTTATGAGTTTGCTTGTTTTTGTTTTTTGTTTTGTTGTGTTTTGTTTTTAGATCACATAGATGTGAGATCATACAGTATTTGTCTTTCTCTGTCTGACTTATTTCACTTGGCACAGTGCCCTCGGGTCTGTCCATGTTGTCACAAATGGCAGGATATTTTTCTTTCATATACTGTCATTTTCTTCATCTGATTCATCTGTTGATGGACACGTAAGTTGTTTCCAAGTCTTATCTGTTGTAAGTTATGTAAGTTGTTTCCAAGTCTTATCTGTTGTAAGTTATGCTGCAATGAACATGGGGATCCAGATATCTTTCAAGATAGTAACTTTGTTTCCTTTGGATATAAACCCAGATGCGGAGTTGCTGGATTATATGGTATTTTTATTTTTAATTTTTGGAGGAAACTTCATACTGTTTTCCACAGTTGCTGCACCAATTTACAATCTCCCCGCCCCCCTCATCAGGGCTCCCTTTCCTCCACATCCTTGCCAGCATTTACCTCTTGTCTTTTTGTTGCTCACTGTTCTAACAGGCATGAGGTGATATCTCATTGTGGTTTTGATTTGTATTTCCCTGATGATTAACTATGAGTGCCTTTTCACCTACCTGTCTGTATTTGTATATCTTCTTTGGAAAAAAGCCTGTGTAGGTCCTTTGCCCATTTTATTTTATTTATTTTTTAATATTATTTATTTATTTGACACAGAGAGAGAGAGAGATCATAAGTAGGCAGACAGGCAGGCAGAGGGAGAGGGAGAAGCAGGCTCCCTGCTGCGCAGAAAGCCAGACGTGGGGCTCGATCCCAGGACCCTGGGATCATGACCTGAGCCGAAGGCAGATGCTTAACCCACTGAGCCACCCAGGTGCCCCCCTTTGCCCATTTTAATTGGATTATTTGATTTTTTGTTATAGAGTTGTGTAAGTTTTTTTAAAAATATATTTTGGATATTAACCCTTTCCAGATATTTGATTTGTAAATAGTTCATCTCTTTCTGTAGATTGCCTTTTCATTTGTTGATCGTTCTTTTTGCTGTGCAGAAGCTTTTTAATTTGAGGTAGGCCCTCTTTATTTTTGATTTTGTTGCTTGTGCTCTAGGTGCCATATCCCAAAACTTATCGCCGAGATCCATTCCAAGGACCTTTTTTCATACTGTCTTTTAGGAGTTTTATGGTTTCAGGTGTTCATGTCTTTAATCCATTTTAATTTTTGTGACTGGTGTGAGATAGGGATCAAGTTTCATTCTTTTCCGTATGATTACTCAATTTCTGCAGCACCATCTATTGAAGATACTGTCTTTTCTCCTGAAAAGTAGTGAGTATTCTTGGCTCCCTTGTCAAATATCAGTTGACCATGTATGCATGGGTTTATTTCTGGGCTCTCAGTTTGTGCCACTGGTCTGTGTGTCTGTTTTTAAGCCAGTACCATACTGTTTTGACTGTAGCTTTATAATATAGCTTGAAATCAGGAAGTGTGATGCCTCCTGCTTTGTTCTTTCTCAGGATTGCTTTGGCTATTTGTTTTTTTTTGGCTATTTTTTTTTGTGGTTTTATATATATATATATATATATATACATATATATATATATAGTTTTGTTCTGTTGTTACTGTCCAAGTGTTCTGTGTGGCTTTTACCTCATTTTCTGTCCTCACTTTCTCTGTCCCAGCTAGTTGACACTCTTTTTGTCCTATGCTCTTCACTGCAGATATTCATGACCCAGAGCAAAGTGGTGATGAGGCCATGAGGGTTACCAACCTTGCCAGTCACCAAAGGGATGCTCTAGACACAGCATGGCACAGGCTGCCTTTGACTTCATAATCACTTCATCTTCCTAATGGATAGATGAGAACATGACAATTTAGCTCAGATGTTAGTTCACAGCTAAATTTAGAGTGTTTCTCTCTCTCTCTACTATTAAGGAATCAGCTTACTCTCATCCTTATATTCTTCCTTCCTCCATCCAAAGACATAAAAATAGCTGTACAGCAGGGACATTTTAGAGCTAACACATAGGTAGTTTGGCTAAGGTACTCTTTCCAGGAGCGAACAGGAACCTTTTAAACTTTTCCACGTTTATGCTCTAGAGTGGTAGTAGACAGAGCTCCCTGATTTTCATATTGACCTGCTGTAAATATATACTCTTCCTCTTCAAATTAGCCTTGGCCATTACACAAAAGCAATTTCAAAAAATCTGCAGTCTCTTCTTTGTGTTAGCATTAGAACCTCCCTGAGTTTTAGGAGGGTGTGTGGCTGCCCAAGTTGCAACTTATTTCCTAGCCTTCCATGTGGCCAGATGACTCAGTTTCCCCCAGTGAAATGTGAGCAAAGTGATGTTTGCAACTTATATAATTTTTTTTAAAGGAAATCACTTACCCTCCATTTTCCCTTTGACTACCTTCCAGCCCCAGATGGGATATTGGCTAACCAGGTTGACTCATGCAGGCAAGGTCAGTATAGTAGGAAATGGTAGAGCAATAAGCCAGAAGGAAGCAGACCCCTCAGTAGCCTGGTGGAGCAGAGCCATCCGCACACCAGAGACCTCTGGGCTGATACAAGAGAGAGCAATACATATTTCTTTCTTGTGTGAGTTTTCTTGTGTATTTTTGAGTTTCTTTGTTACAACAGCCTAGTCGATGCCCTAACCTATACACAGTGGTGGACACTTAAGTCCTCAGGACCCACACTGCGTGCTGCGAGTAAGTGTCATGTCACTTAATTTTCTAGCAACTCTCCTAAAATAGATACTAATTGCTCATTTGACAGATGTGCATGCAGGCTTACAGAGGCTAAACGACTTGCCCAAGATCGGAAGGCTATAAAGTGGTAGAAAGAACCTGGACTCAGCTCTGAGGGGTTCAAAACACAGATTCTAAATCTCTGTGCCCTAGCGTACATTATTATTACTGTTCACTCTTTTTTTTTTTTTTTTTAACAGAGCATATTTGAAGTATTCTTCTCAGCTAATTTAAAGTTTCTGTCTGTTACACAGTGTAGCTTTTGATTCCTTCTCTGCTTAGTTTGGTGCAGATTGCTCATTTTATTCTCCTTTTTTGGAGGGGAGGGAGGTGAGGATTGTCCCTTGGTTTTGAATAGATTCATCTTACTTTGTTCATTAAACTGTAAATCCCTCAGGAAGTAGTGCTAGTAATACAAGTGCTGCTAAATAAATGACAACTCTCTGTCTCAAGGGGTAAGAGCTACCTGGTCTTCCGGAATGATGCAGTATTCTCTTACATGATGTTGTTCTCCTGGGTGTACAAATGTTGTTGTCAGTGAATCAATCCTGGTGAACAACCCCCAATTTTAAATACATTTTTATGGCAGCAGCATACTTGAATAGAGGAAACATCCGAAATGATGCCCATTCTATTTATCACTCTAAATATAAGCAGGTGGAATTTAAAATTTTCATGATTGCATTTTAGTCAAATGTTAGATTCATGATCATTCTGCCATGCATGAGTTAGTAATGAGCTTGCTGCATAATAAAAGAAAGCCCCAAATGCACCAAATAAGATATATTTGCCTCAGTGCATCAAACAAGGTATTTTTTCTTTTTTTAAAAAACGTTATTCATTATTTTTTGTTTGAGAGAGAGAGTGAGTGAGAGAGAGCGAGAAAGCGCGAGTGCGGGGAGGAGCAGAGGAAAAGGGAGAAGCAGACTCCCCGCTGAGCAGGGAGCCTGACCCAGGGCTTGATCTGGGGCTTAATCTGGGGCTCGATCCCGGGCTCGATCCCAGGACTCCGAGATCATGACCCAAGCTGAAGGCAGACGCTTAACCGACTGAGGCATCCAGGCACCCATATATATATATATATATATATATATATATATATATATATATAAATAAAAAAATATATATATTTATATTTTTTCCCCTAACATGAAAGAGGCGTGGAGGTGGGCAGCCAAGGATTGATATGTGGCTCTTGGTCATTGCGTTCTCAGGTTCCTTCTAACTTTTTCTTTGTAAATCTCTGAAAATGGTTTCCATTCTAAAGATTTCCTCATGGTTAGCAAAAGCCCCAGTAAAGACATCCATCATGTCAGAGTCTCAGGCAGTGGGATGAGGAGAGGGCACAGGGCCTTTGTCTGCCTATTTCCTTGTAAAGACCTTTTCCAGGTTGTTTACTAAATGAACTTTCCCTTCCTTGGTCAGAACTTAACTATACCTACTTACACAGCTGTCCGAATAAAATCAAGGTTTTGTCTTGTTTTTAACTAAGGAAGAAGGGGGAAGAATCAATGATGGGTAGACTGCCTTCCTTCTAATTAGAAAATTCCCACCATTCTAGACCAGGGGTTGGCAAACTATGGCCTATGGGCCAAATCTGGTCCGCAGCCTGTTTTTTTTTTTTTTTTTTTAAATAAGTAACGAGTTACTGAAACAAAACCATATGCATTCATTGATGTATTGTCTATAGCTGAGTTAATGCTACAACAAGCAGAGCTGAGTCGCTGTCACAGAGATCGTATGGCCCACAAGTCTAAAATATTTCCTATCTAGTCCTGTTGAAAAAGTTTGCCAATCCCTGTTCTAGATCATGGAGGACAGATTCTGATGAACAAATGGCTTCATTCTTGGGATGTTATTATAGGAACAGGGTTGAGCCCAATATAGATTCAGTAATAATTTATTCTTCTCCAGCCCCAGTGAAATTAAATCTGTTAGGCATACATTCAGTTGCAAGTAACATAAAACCTGACTAATGGCAGTTGTAACAATAGGGAGTTTATTTATCTCACATGCAAAGACGTCCAGAAGTACATGGTCCAGGGCTGGTGTGGATGCTGAATGATGCTTTCAGAACTGGACTCTTGTTTTCTCCCCAACCATGGCCAGAATGTTGGCTTTCATCTCCATGCTTATTGTAAGTTGGCTGCAGCCCCTAAAAGCATTAGGTCTGCATCCTGCCTCGGAAGAAGGGGTAGGTGTCAAAGGCCAAAATGGGTACGAGTCTGTCTCTTTCCAGAACTTTCCCAGAGGTCCTCGTTGGCCAGGACTGTGTTTTCATGACACGTGCTGGCAGCAGAAGATCCCAAGATGGTGAGAATGTACATTGGACACATGACTGGGGCAAACAAATGGAGAGGGAGGCAGGAGCAGTAGGGTAGGAGCAGGGCTCCTCACGTTTAACGGGGCCACTCTAGCCCCTTCTTAGTGTCTCACCTTGCCTGCCTGCCCCTTCCTGCAGCAGTTCCTGAAATTGATTCTGTTCTTTTTCCCTCCCTTTCATATTTCTGGCTAGGTGAGAAACCTGGCAGTGAGCCTGAAGAGGTGAAGCTGCAGAAAGCCAGCAAACAGATTGTGCGGAATGCCATCCTGCAAGCTGTACAGCAAGTCTCCCAGGAGAGCCGGCAGAAGGGGGAGAGCGCCCGAGACAGCCGGGGCAGCCTCCAGCTGGGCGTCGGGGAATTAACCAAGAAGCATGAAAAGAAGTAACAACAGTAGATTTGGCTCTTGTCACCTGCTTGGTTTCCAGCCTTCCTCTTAGTATAGGATGCATAGCCAAAATGTTGCCAGTAAAGCAAACCGGCACCTAGCAGTAGAATGAATTCACACTAGCCCTTGGCTGAGATGCACTGTTTTGAAAAAGTGTGTTAGACAATTCTGTTCATATTAATGCAGTGCCTCTGAAACAGAGTGGGGCCAAACAGGACACTGTAATTGCAAAAGTAGTTTTGCAGCACGGTTTCTTTTTTAAGGTTCTTTCTTCCCCTAAAGATTCTGTCTTGTTTATTTACTTTTGCTTTTTTACACACCTTTCTGTGAGTTTAACCAGCAATCCTTTTTGCTGAAATACTGAGTGCGGTACCGTGTTCTTTATAATATTTTAAAAAGACACGCCAGGGCGCCTGGGTGGCTCAGGCGTTAAGCGTCTGCCTTCGGCTCAGGTCGTGATTGAGCCCCACGTTGGGCTTCCTGCTCAGCGGGAAGCCTGCTTCTCCCTCTCCCACTCCCCCTGCTTGTGTTCCTGCTCTCGCTGTCTCTCTCTGTCAAATAAATTAAAAAAAAAATTGTAAAAAAAAAAAGACACACCAGAAAGGTGAAGGAATAAGGCTTCGCTGGGTTCAGGTCCAAGATCAAATTGAGCAAAGGCAAGTTCTAAGACTCAGTTCCTTAGGATCTTACAAGGCATATATTTATATTAATTTTTAAAAAAGGAAGAGTTTAACTTTTTAAGAACTCAGTTTTTTTGGTCTCAGTTCTCTCCATGGTTTGATAGCTGACTTTACTCTCTGTGCAGAAATCCTTCAGAAATAGGCATTTCTTTTTCCATCTCAAATTAAAGTGAGGGATCTATATGCGTGAGTCGCCAATGACTCTGTTTTTAGCAGTCCCATGAAGAGCAACTAGAACCATAGATTCGACGCTGGGGATACGCTAGGGTCTGAGTATGGGGTGCAGTGTCCGTGGAAGGAGCTGTGGGGCTTTACAAACACCATGTTGTCATTAGGCTATGTCTTCGCACTAGTACCTTACTAATAGGAACTTTCTTTTCCCATCCACAACTTAAAATTATATTTTTGAGATTTTGAAAATCATACATATCAGGAATAAATAACACTGAAAATGGGAAAACCATTTTTTTTTAACTCTCCGAAGCATGAAAATAGAGTGGGAACAATAAAGTAACAGTGTTTTGAACAATGCAGTTATGGGGACATATGTGCATATGAAAAAAGCCGTCATTATTGCAGTAGTGTGGCTTCTGCTCCACTCCCATGTTGATAATGCACATCTTTCTAGAGTCATTAGAATCCCATAGTCTGGTTTCATAACAGTCATTGAGTTGCTGCTACTGAAAACAGAAAGAATTTGGCCTTTATAAAAACGCTTTGGCTTCAGAATATCAATGTCTACTTTTGATAGTTTTTTTTAGAAGCCAGTATCAGCATATATGGTATGACTGATATTAAGATATACTTCTAGAATTCCAGTATGTTACACTTCCCAGAATGGATACTACTGATTATGGTAGATAAATGAAAACACTCTCTTAGCAGCTTTGTTAGATTGTCACATGAGGCACAGCTGGAATAAATTCACAGAAGAATGGCTACGAGAGGGGCAGAGGGAGTTAAAATTTAAACGTGATTTATTTATAAATATTTTTTAGCAGAACTCATGACCATTGAAGAATGAGTTGAAGTTGATCAGAAGTCATATAATTGATATGATGTGATTGCACAGTATGTAGATAATGGGAATGAAAGTATTAAGGGAAATTATTCAGAAGGATCTACTATAAATATAAAACCAATGCTTGTAGTTTGCAAGTGATCTAGCACCATGTGTATTAAGATGTCTGGTTATAACCAGTCCTAGACCTTGCTGTCATATCATGTGGCGGAAATACATAAATGCACTATCTTTCTTCTCTGGTGTGTCTGTGCTAATTCACTGGGGATCTTTGAGAACATTGGATTAACTTCTGTATCTAAACATTATTTGTAAATAAAATATATCCAGCTTTGAAATATGTTGTCATTATAAGGCAAGTTTTCTACACCCTACTATTTGGCTCATTTCATACACGTATCTTACATTCATTTGGCACCATGAGGCACCCCAAGTTTTCCAAACCCCTGTATATCATGATCCTGAGAGTGCTTCTTCCCTGGGCCTTTACTGCAAGTCTGTGGAATGGTGGTTCCTGAGGTTTGAACAGGAAAGGACGTGTGCTAAGAAGTGGCCTTTGGATCTCAGAAAGTAAAGATGAGTGAATCTGGAATGTTGTGTCTTTCATGATCTTTCTGTGACACAACATCTACAGCAAGGACCAGAGAGATTGAGAAATTCTTGGAGGAAGAAAAGAAAGTCGAGCAACCCCTGCACTTAGTAGGTTGGTGCCACATTGGCAGAATCCTAAGTAAGCTCAGCCGTAAAAATAAATCCATCTGTTAAACTCTTGCTGATCTCTCTCAGTATAAAGTTATTGGCCTTGAAAGGGGCCTATCGAGCTTCCATGTGGCATAGGATTAAGGTGGGCTACCACTTGGCTGTTATCATAAACAAGCACACAGCTTTTGGTTTTAGGAATTCATAGGAATATGTATGTAATGTCTTTTATCTTCCCGATTTACTACATGGTGAAGCATACATGGGCCTCCCAGCTCTGTATGCTCAGCTTCTCGTCTTTTACTTTGCCTGGCTCTGGAGTAGACCGAAGAGAGAAAACCTTTTATGTTACTTCGCTTTTCTGTAATGATCTCTCCAGTGTGAACAGTATTGTAAATAGATACAAAACTTACAGCCTCCTGGGCTTCATCTCCCCACCGCCCCCAACTCTCTTTTTTAGCTGCGTCATCTTCCCTTATGGTGGGATTTCAGGTTACAAAAAAAAGAATGAACCATTTAAAAATAACCATGTTATTTATGCCAATCCAGAATGAATAACAATTTTCAAGGTTTTAAGGGCTTATAAAAAAATGTAGAAAAGGGAATTTTCAACTTATTCACTGTAATGGCTATTCCAATAAGATACAATAGAGAATAAAATCTCTGAGAAATATGGTAACTAGTTTAGCCCCTATAGTACCCAAACAGGTGAAAAAGACTAAACACATGAGCAAAGTCTTTTTAGTTCATGTAAGGTGAATATGGAAACCACAATAACAACATGTATTCTCTTGAATGTGAGAAAGTTTTCTGAAATATATTACTACGCATTAACTCATTTTTCTCATTGTCACAACCTCACGATATGTTGCATCTGGGAAGATCTTATTCTCCTTTTGCTGATAAAGTCACACTGAGTCTCAGAGAGGATAAGTATATCCTAAGTAATGAACAGCAAGTATTATTTGGCACAGGAACACTTGAATCACTGATCTTAAACTTTGAGAGCATGTGTATCAGCTAAGGGAGCTTAAGAAATATAACTTCTGGGGATATTTATGTTAAGATGGAAGAATAAAACTGCCTTCTAGTAAGAAATGTCACAAAAATAGTAAAGGTTCAGAAAAATCATCATCAATAGAAATAGTTCAATGCCATTAATATCAAAAAGTGGTAGCTAAGGAAGGAAAAAGAAACCACAGAGAGAACAAAATAGAAGGTCACAACAGAGCATGGCAAGTTCTCTTATCTTTCCTTCTCAGAACCACATGCGAAGTCCATGGAATCCTGACCCAGGTGTGGAGCAAGATGAATGCAGTGGGTGATGTTATTGTTTGTCTGTCGACTATAGTGTAGTGGAAATGGCTCAAAGGAAGAAATAGGCAAAATTGGAGAAGGTGCTTCTCCCACATAGAAGTGACAACCTTATCTTACAGAAATGAAGAAAAAGATAAATGCATATTTAAAAATCCCCTCATGGTGTTCTAGAAAATGGATACAAAATATTCAATACCAGTACTTCTTTTTCTTTCCATTTATTTATTTATTTTGATGTACTGTTCCATGATTCATTGTTTGCATATAACACCCAGTGCTCCACGCAGAACGTGCCCTCTTTAATACCGTTCACCAGGCTAACCCATCCCCCCACCCCCCTCCCCTCTAGAACCCTCAGTTTGTTTTTCAGAGTCCATAGTCTCTCATGGTTTGTATCCCCCTCCGATTTCCCCCCCTTCATTTTTCCCTTCCTACTATCTTCTTCTTTTTTTTTTTTTTAACATATAATGTATTATTTGTTTCAGGGGTACTGGTCTGTGATTCATCAGTCTTACACAATTCACAATGCTCACCATAGCACATACCCTCCCCAATACCAGTACTTCTAGAATAAGAGAAAAATCCTAGAAATTTCTAGGCTGAGAGCAAGCCATTTACCAAGGTAAAAACTTTAGGCTGGCATCAGACTACTTCATAACAACATTCAATACTCTATCATAAGGGAGAAAAGGCTACAAAGTAGCTCTGAAAAGGAAAGTATGAAGTAAGCTTGTTATTCCCAGCTAACATGTCACTGGAGAATAAAGGCAAGGAAAAAAAAAAAGGAAAGAAAGAAAGAAAGAAGGAAGGAAGGAAAAAAAATCTTAAGAGTTATTGGTTCTCAAGGGCCCTCCTTGAAAAAAAACTGCTTAGCCATGAACTTCAGCCAACTAAAAGATAAATCAAAATAGTCTAGGGGCACCTGGGTGGCGCAGTTAAGCATCTGATTCTTGATTTTGGCTTACGTCCTGATCTCAGGGTCGTGGGTTCGAGCCCCTCTTCAGGCTTCCCACTCAGCTCAGTGTGGAGTCTGCTTAAGATTTTCTCCCTCTCCCTCTGCCTCTCCCCCTGCTCTCTATCTAAAATAAATAAATAAATCTTTATGGGGCAGCTGGGTGGCTCAGTCCTTAAGCATCTGCCTTCGCTCAGGTCATGATCCCAGGGTCCTGGGATCGAGCCCCGCATCGGGCTCACTGCTCCGCAGGAAGCCTGCTTCTCCCTCTCCCCCTGCTTGTGTTCCCTTTCGCTGTCTCTTTCTCTGTCAAATAAATAAATAAAATCTT